TAACTTGGGTGTTCTGTTTCTTAAATTGTCATTTTTCTTTTTTAAACGACGTTTATTTTCTGCGGGTTATGTTTTTTTTGTTTTTTGGAAATGAAGGAAAGCCGCCTAATTTCATATTTTAGTTCCTTCTTTTTTGGGGTAACATCACTAAAATGTTTATATAATCCTCTTCACACTTTTCATTATCCGTGATATTCAAAGTTGACATCGAGGATGTACTACTTAGGTCAGAATATGATGACTGCGACGTGGTAGGTTGGCTGATAGGAGTCGTAAGATAATTTTATAAAATTATGTGGTGAGCATTAACATGTTCACTAAGTATTGGGAGAGTCCTACATGCAAAAAAAAATCATTCAAATCGCACAGTCCAGGCAAATGTTACAGGAGTGTTCTAGGTCAAATTTGAACACTCTGTGCATATAATAGTTTGACCAGACATAATTTTGCTACAAATATATTTCAATAAAAGTACTCGCTCTCAAAACTATTTTATTATAGAAAAATATTGGTAACAGAAACATAATGTTTCTTTTATGGAATGGCTCTCTAGCAGTCCAGATCTCTTGCCAACAGAAACATTGTGAAAAAACAGTTGCACAAACATCCAGCCCGTTCAGTTAACGATCTACGCATCAAATTGCAAGAAATTTGGGATAGCATGCCTTCTGAAGAGTGAGCTAAACTGGTAAATACAATGCCTGTCAGAATTAAAGATGTTATTCTTAATAAAGGTGATGTAACACAATTTTGATGAAACAGCCGATCTATTCCGAACCGCCAATCTTAATGTGTTTTATTAACAAACTAGTCATTGACACATCATTACGTAGTAATATTTAATCGTATTTAAGCTAAAAGTTTATACTTTGTTTCTATTACCAATATTTTAATTATTTAAATATACAGGCTGTTACAAATTCGCTTCTCACTACAGGGATCTCGGAAACGATAGGAGATACGAAATAACTTAAATGGGGCAAAGTTGCATATCAGGGGACCAACATTATGCCTCTAAAAAATCAAGGCTAACATGATAGTTTTCGAGATATTTGAAAAAAAACGAAATTTTGGAAATCCGTTTTTGTTTCATTTCAGCCTTGTTTGAGGTGATATTGAAAAAAGAAGAACACTATAATGGCAACTTTTTGCCCTCTATCGAATGGCATAATCAGTTTTTATATGTAACGTTTCATCTCTCCAAGACAATCATCAACTTAATCTTTTTAAATGACCCTGGAAGTTTTATTACATTTTTTGCAAGCCTTCATGACCCCCAATACTGTACTGCCTCAGCCCAAACAAGATTCAGATGTTTTGTCTCGAAAAATTCTTCAATGTATTCATTTCAAATTTATCTATATTATTAGAGTTTTAATCCCCTGCTCGTAGTTATTTCTAGGGTTCTGAATTGCTCAAAATTGAAACAAATTTGGATCTACCTTTTTCATGATATTCAGACAAATACACGTATCACTTACTGTTTCCGAAATCCCTGTAATGAGAAGCGAATTTATAACAGCCTGTATACATATACAGGGTGTCTCACATTTAAATAGCAGGACTTCTGGAATCAGTAGAAGACCTCATTTTGAGTCTAAAAGTTCCTATATATATGGGTCCTAAAACGCTTCGTTTCTGAGATACAGGGCGTTCAATTTTATTTTTGTTTTATTTATTTATTTTTTAACTAAATAACCGCTGACAAAAAAAATCATCATGTTGCGGCGAAAGACTTAGTATTTGAGGGCAAATAATTTGACACAGAAAATCATCGCATATTAGTTCCAGTGGTGGAGATAGAGGGGTCTCTATGCATATTTTTATAAAAAAAAGTATAGCCGATTTGATATTTTGCAAATGTTTTCGAAAAATATGAAAGAGCATTCAATTTTACCCAGAAAAGGCCCTCTTGTCCAAAGTCGATAGGAGGTGGCGTTTTCAAGAAAAACCGAAAATACTGTTTAGAAGTCAAATAATAATTTTTAAACATTGTGTTACAACTAAATTAAATATGTAGTTCAAAAATTCGGTTAAAATTGTTTTTAATTAATTAAATGAAAATAAATACAAAAATAAATAACGAAAACCATATTACATCAAAGCAAATGTTCGAAATGTAAACCATTTTCTTCGATACATAACTGACACCGACGCTGAATAGAACGTCTCATTTGAATTAAGTTATTGTCTCTGATTTCACTGCATGCGTTCCGAATCCGACGAATAAGTTCATCCCTTGTGTCCACAGTAGTGGTATAAACTCTCTCTTTAATAAAACCCCAGAGGAAAAAATCTAGGGGTGTCAGATCAGAGAATCGGGGAGGCCATGCAACGATACCCCCGCGGCCAATCCATTTTTCGGGAAAGTGGGTGTTCAACCAGTTCCTGACATTTCGGCCGAAATGAGCTTGGACAGCCATCAAGTTGAAACCATGCTCGCATTCTTAAATTCAGAGGAATTTCCTCCCACATGTTGGCACTCTCGGTTTCTAAGAAATTCGCAGAATTCAGTCGTTGAGGTAAGATGTAAGGGCCGAAAAGACAATTGTTATAAACGCCGAGCCAAATATT